TGGTCTGTGACATTAACAGAGAAATGTTAAAAGTTGGGAAGCAGAAAGCTCAGCACCTTGGCTACTCGGAAGGTAAGTCGTACCTCATGCTGTGTCAGCAGCGTCCCTGATAGCAAGAATTTGGTGCATCAGGTAATCACCACTTCAGGATTACAAATACCCTAAACAGCTGTGGTATATATTGCTGTACTTGTGTATTTGCCACTGCTGAGTCACTTTTCCAGTGAGTATGTGTATATAAATATGAAAGTGTCCATGAGGTCTGATACCCAGCTGTCCTTCAAAATTAAATAATCAAAACTGCTGTTAACATCTGTGCTAACAAATCTGGTATTACTGAGCTGCAAAAGAGCTCAGCCCTAGAATGATTAAAGATCTCATACTGTGTACTTTAAGAATCAAGGTAGCAAATAAAAAAAAGCAAGAACTAAAGGATATTGTGAACCTATAAAACTTTCCACAGTTAGAGCATATGCAAGTAATGCTTAGAGAAACTGAATTATATTAAATCTTAGTTTGCAGGTGAATGGATTAATTCACTGATGCTTATAATTTGTTGGGTACCAGGCCAATCCTGATTGAAAAGCCTGATTTTAAGAAATAAAACATAGAGAAAGAAGTACTGCTTGTGGCTTAGTGTGCCACAATTCTGACTTCTTTCTTACTTTTACTCCCTTACTCAGCACGTACCCATTTGATATGTCCTACCTGATGGTTTTCAGGCAATTCCTCCCTGATGCAATAATCTCATTGCTGAGCTTGCTTATCTCTTGATTGTCTGAGATCTAAAACTTGTTATTCTTAAAATTGTAAGAGAGAGGCAGAGCTTGCTGATTGTGCATTTTGTCGCAGGAGTACTGTTAGGATTAAAGGGTGGGCTCAGTTCCACGCACACTGTGTCTCACCTAAAAAATCCAATGCGCAGGCTGGAAGGTGTAAAGACCTTCCCCGGATCTTCACTCGTGAAGACTGGCCATTACCTATTCTGAGGGACTTAACCTGTTGCTCAAGACCTTTTCTTGCTGCTCATTTCTTAGGTGTTTTTTCAAACTGTCCAGGTTTAAATCACACTAATAATGCTGCTTTAATAATGTTGCATGCTTCTTTTCATACAATACTTACTACAACCATAAATATATATGTTTTGTAAAACTGAAATTTTATTGTCTCCTGGCAACAATCATTGTTTTCTGTTGTGTTTTGCCTTCCCCTGTGTTGCTTTCTAGCATAGTGCCCTTTTGAAACTGTTGCAGAAAACTTCTGGGTTTTCTTCTATTGCTTTTTTTGTTTTGCATTTGAGCTTCCAAAACTAGTAACTTTAAGAGCTATCAGTTCTAAATTAAGGAGTCTTATTTTTGGTACCAGTAACCTGGACATCCATGCTCCACAGATAAACATGGTTAGACAGGATAGACAGGATTCCTTAGGGGCTGGAAATGAACACAACTGCAACAGGATCACATCGTGATGGTGCTGGTGGAGGGAGATCGGCTTTTCATGTTCCTCAGTCTCTGGAAATTTTCCAGCAAAATGTGTTGAGTGTTTTGGCCATTGTTGCGTGGCAAGACATTAATATTTGTTGGTAGTTACTTTTAAAACAGAGATTGTCTTTTTGCAACTTTGCTGCAAACAAATGGCAGCCAACAATGCTTTCCACTATGATGCAAGTTTGTGAAATTTTTTTTGGCATGCTGAGGCACTGTGAGCACAACAGGTATGTATATGCAGAACAATGTTTTGGCTTACCTGCAAAATAACTGCTCTGTTTTGAAAGACAGTGAGTGGTATAGTACAGGTTCTTGAAAGGTTCCTGAGTACAGGCCAAGGTGTCTTTCCTCCAACAAAAATGCAAAATGGAAACATTTGTTTTAAATATCACATTTAAAAGAATCAGTTTTTTTCTAGGATAGGTAAGTTCAATTCTTTCTGGAGCAGTCTTGAGTTCAATCCTGTAATCTGTCTTTTACTACAGGCTTGTCCTGGGTACTTGGGAATGCTGAAGAGTTGCCCTTTGATGATGATAAGTTTGATGTTTACACAATTGCCTTTGGAATCCGAAACGTAACTCGTATTGATTTGGTAAGTTGCTGTAGTGTATCCTCAAGTGGGGTCCTTACCATTCATCTGAGGGGTTTTTATTCAGCAGAGGAAGAAAAGGAGGAACTCCTTTGTATAAAGGAAGATCATAGTCTACTCCTGAAACATTTAAAAGAAGTGGCATGTGGTGTGCAACTTGTTTGAATGGAGAATGCAATTAAATGCCCCACCTTTGCCATAAAAAGATAGATTTATACCAGTTGCACCCAATCCTTCCAGCTTGACAAGCCACACGATCTCTTCCTAAGGCAAAGGGGCTGGATGCTGCAGTCATTCCCCACCTCCTCCTGACCTATGGCATGGCTGGATCTCCACATGCACAGTGCAGTCAGTCTGCATGTCTCAAATCTTCTGAAGCACCTGATCTACATCCCACCCACCGTGGGTCCAACAAGTCCTGTTCTCTGTTTCCCCCCCTGAGCCAGCAGAGCTTCCAGAGCAGAGTGGGAAGCAGCTGGCTGCTGTCCCCACTGCTGTCAACTAACCTGTTCTGCCCACTTCTGCTCAGTGTCTTTACACTGCCTGGTGATAGAGCTTCCTATGCAGAACAAGTACGATTTTAATTAGGATAAGTAGTGCCCTTTGTTGTAAACAATATCTGTCCTTTGAGAATGACAAGCTGTTGTGGGGGTGAAGATAGGTTAGATCACCTGTCTAGGTGGACTAGTTGTGTGTGTTCTGGAGGAGCGTGTTACAGCCTTGGCAAGGCTCCTTCTGTGGAAGATGTAACCACCTTGAACCATATGCCTTGGAAGTTAATGTGGATGGCTTTTCCTGGTACTTTGTGTGCACCTTTCCAAAGCACAGGCTCTTTGCCTTCATGGATGCAGGAATCTGGTGGCAGAGCTCCCTGGAGACCTGACACAAAACACATCCAAGCTGCCAATTCTTTTGCAGAGCTCCTGTCCTGTATGTGCACTGTTTGTGTCCCCCTCCTTAGGAACAGGACAGTTGAAGCCAAGCAACCTGCAGAGCTTCTGGACTACAACTCTGCTGTGCTCCTGCATGAAGGAACACACAGTTGTAAAGAAAATTTTATCTTGATTCTTCTTAGGTATTTTATTTGTATATAGGGTGGAATTTTCCAAGTAGCCAAAGATTTTCTTCTTCCTTCTCCTTCCTTCCTGTTCTTACACATTGCTCATCCAAAACCCAGTATCATTCCTTCTCTGATCTTTTGGGTGTGCCTCAGTAAAATCTTTTGATTTAAAAAAAAATCTATCGTACCCTTTTTTCTTTTTCAGTTTCTTGTAGGTGAGTCACCTTCTCCCTTTTGGGTTTGGTCTCTAATTACAAGAGCTCTGCCAACAAACATTCATCAACTGGGAGTAGGGAAAAAGAAAAATTGGCAACCCAATATCAAGTTTTGACACAAAGCCTTGTATAAATCTGTGTGTTTACCATTGAGACTGTTTGTGCTTTGTGTTTGTTGTATGTTTGGGTTTTTTTACTTGTCTTGGGGTGCTTCTCCACATTAAATATTGCAGACTGCCAGTGAGGGTACTCTTTACTTCCCTCAGTTCATCAGAGTTGCATGATAATATCACATGCCATGACAACAGGCAGAAACAAACTTATCACATCTGCTTTGTCTCAGGCTCTTCAAGAGGCCTATCGTGTGCTGAAACCAGGAGGAAGATTTCTCTGCCTTGAATTTAGTCATGTCAGCAACCCTCTTCTTTCCAGGTAAGAACACAGTGTCACTTCATACCACATCACAGGGCTCTCTTTTTTGTACTCAGCCACAATAAGAGATGGAGACACTTTGAGGCCACTTCTTTGTGCACTTTTAAAATCAGAGACAGACGGCATAGCATAGTGGTACCGAGACCAGCTTGTGCTGGAGAGGGTTGGTTTTTAACCTTGTTTATATTCATTTGCGTTTGTTGTCTGTCTGTGCAGGCTTTATGATCTCTACAGTTTCCAGGTTATCCCTGTTCTGGGTGAGGTCATTGCTGGTGACTGGAGGTCGTACCAGTATCTGGTGGAGAGCATCCGGCAGTTCCCCCCTCAGGTGAGAGGATTTCCCTCAACTCACACACAAAATATGATCCCAGCACAGCCTCCAGCCACTGGTTCACAGGCCTTCGAGTTGTTAAAATTATGGCACTTCTTTTTCAGGAGGAGCTGAAGGCAATGATAGAAGATGCAGGTTTTTTCAAAGTGGATTATGAGAATTTAAACTTTGGCATTGTCGCCATCCACTCAGGTTTCAAACTGTGAGTCTACTATGTAGCAAAACACAGGAGGTGTAATTTTCACGAAGAATGTGAAAGCTGTGGAATTTTAACAGTATGAGGATTGAAGAGGAGCGTTGAGAACTTGTGCAGCAGATACTTGCTCAGCAGCCAGACCCTGAACACCAACTACCTTTTCTCCTTCAAGAAACCTGTGAAAGGAGCGAGTCCTGTGGCATTTCTTACACTTGCATTTCCCTTCAAGTGCAATGTAAAGGACACGGCCAAAACTGAGCAGTGCTAACCAGTGAAGCAACATCAGTTGCCACTGGTTGTTGGACACAGAAATAGGCTGACTAGTCTTCCAAGAAGATGCCTTTTATTTTTTTTACTACGCTTCAAGGAGGATATACCCATGAGAACTTGGATTTATGAAGTAACTATGGATTTTTATGAAGCTGTTATTATCTCTGTCATGTGGAGTTTAAGGATGTTTTCCCATGACTCCTTTACTTCTTTCAAAGGCAAATGAAAGGCTTGGGAAATAAAAGGGCTCTGCATCAACTCTTTTCCACTTAAATCAGTCTTTTGTGAGAAGGTTGCCTAAGAAATTATGGATTTGGGGGGTGTGGGGTGGGAATAGGGGTGGGGATGTCCATCCTTCATTCACACTGCAGTAAAGAGGGTAATGCAAGGGGACAGAGGGTAAAGAAAACTCTTAAAGGATAAACTAGTTCCAACGGTTTTATTAGCAAAGAAGCAATCTTTTGAAAGAAAATAAATACAAGGAAGACATTTTTGCTTTTTTATATAGCCACAATGAAAATACCAGCTGCTACAGCAAAATCCCTGACCATTAACAATACAACAAAAGACCTGGAGATCAAGGCCTGTTTCCCCAGGAAGGCTGAAGGTGGGAGTCACTGTGCAGATCCTGTACCCAGGTGCAAGTTTCAGTAACAGTCCGTGGTTCTAACCAGACTTGAAAAGAAGAATAGCGACTTGGCCGAGGTAGAAGTAGATGAAGTGTTTGGTCTCGTGAGTCACGTAGCTGCCAAAGTTCCTTCCCACGATGCAGTGCCACGTGGGATTGTATTTCTTGTCAAATTCCTACGGAAGAGAGAACTAGAAAGTCAGCATTTTCGTGGTAATTATACTAATATTGTCTAACAGGTTTTCTTGTTGTTTTTTTTTCTTTTGCAATGATATGTCATTTGTTAACAAGTATCACTTTTGGAAGGAGGCAATTAAGGAGCAGCATATGCTCCTAAGCACAAGGATCATCTGTCACTTTATAACTCATCTGCTGCTTAGTCATACCAAAAAAAAAAATGTTCTTCCAAGCAGAGCAGGAATAAGCTTAAAACATATGTTTGGGGAAGTAACTTTTCCCCCAAAGTCACGCCATGATCTCAAACCATAACTTTTAAGAGCTCACTGCTCAGATGAAACCAGTATTTTGATTTCGGGTGTTTACAATAAGGATGCTGAAAGGACACTTGCCTGGGAAATTCTCTGCCACGTCCTTGATATCTAGTCATGAGACTATATTCTTCTGACACTCTGTCATCAAGAGCCTGCTACAACTTACAAATAAACTCCTGTGTCCGGGTGTAATGTGAGTAATCGTGCAGTCAGTGGTTACACAGTGCAGTACCTAACAGCCATCAGCTGAGGAGGTTTTTCTGAGAACATGGAAGAGGTTGCTGTTCTTCTCAAACAAACCCTTCAACTACTTGCAGCTCAGTCAGGCTCCCAGTAGGAGTCAAGAGAAAAAAATGTGACAAACTGTAAGCTATGAACCATCTGTTCAGCGCTCGCATGAACAGCTTGTCTTACATGTGGGGGGAAAGGGCAAAAAACAAAACCACTTATTACGTGGTCGGCAAACCACCCCTCCTCAAACAGGCTCCAGATAGAGCCCGTGTTTTGTACCAGCTCATCAGTCACAGGGACAGTCAGCTGCCAATCTGCTCACCTGGACAATGGCACAGTGGCAGAAAAGGCATAAGGTACTACCAGAGAAATGCAGAAAGACCTAAAAAGGTCCACATAAAGGGTGGGGAAAGGAACATAAAGAGAGAAAGTCCAACTCGATTATCTAGGGTGTCTGGAGCTTGTTTCTCTAGAGTGACTTGCCCAGCAGCTTTCTCCCTGATTGATTTTTCATGAGCACATTACAAGCCAACATTTACCTTCTTTATGTGAGCAGCGATGTCCTTCTCGATGTTGTATTTCTCCAAGGCCTGAGTAGCACATTCCACCGAGTCCTGTTGCATCTCCTCTGACATGTCCGCATTTTTGATCACTGCCTTCCGATCGCTCATGATTGCCTGCTCTGGGAGAAGAAAAGGAGAATTCAAAATTGCAGAAGCACCTGCCAGAGTCACCTGTACCGTCACTCCCAGCGAGCTCCCGGGGCCGGGCAGCGCTTTGCCGGCTGTGTCGGGCACGGGCACAGCCCGAGCAGCGGCGGCTGAAACGCCGCGTCCCGCTCAGCACCCGCTCTCCAGCCGGACCCACACAAGCCCCGCCGCCCTCCCCAGCTCCGCTCCAGCCCTTCCCCAGCCCAGCGCGGCCGCTCCATCGCTCGGTCCCGACGGCCTTTCCCCGCCGAGGGAGGCGACCCAAGCCCGGCTCGGAGGGCTCGGAGCCCCGCGCGGCTGCAAGAGAAGGATCCCTCCGGCAGAGCCGGGGGTGCCGGAAAGCGGAGCCGGCGAATGGGGCAGAGCCCGGGCCGGGGGAGCCGCCGGTGCACCGGGGTGGCCGAACGTCCCCGGGAGCGCAGCCCGTCCCTCACCGTCGGGCGATGCGGGGCGAGCGCGGAGCAGGCAGCGCTGCGCTCTGTGCCGTGCGCGCCTCAGAGCGCCCCACCCTCCGTGCCCATTGGCCAGCCGTTCGTCACCGCCGCCGGCCCCCGAGCGCCCATTGGTCACCGCCGCCGGCCCCCGAGCGCCCATTGGCTAAGGCGCGGCGCCCGGCAGGGCTTTACCCCGGCGTTGTCTTGCGGCCCGGGATGCCCCGCGCCGCGTCCGTTGCCATGGCGACCGCGGGGTGAGGGGGGAGCGGGAGGGGCCCACACCCGCTGCATGGGCGCCTGGCTTGGGCTCGGAACGGAACGGCTCCAGTCCTGCCTCCGTGCTACTCGTCTGCTGCGCCAGGGCACGTTGAGGTTGGACGTTTCTTCACAGAAAGGGTGATTAATCACTGGAGCGGGCTGCACAGGTGGTGGAGTCGCCGTCCCCGGAGGTGTTCAAGGAAAGACTGGACGCGGCACTGAGCGCCCTGGTCTAGTTGACACCGTGGTGTTGGGTCACAGGTTGGACTCCATGATCTCAGAGGTCTTTTCCAACCTCATTGATTCTGTGATTCTGTGTGGCATCGTCTGGTGATTCTGTACAAAAAACTTGTTCCTTGAAGTACCCTCAGCCTCCAAGGCATTGTAATGTGTCCACCAGCTTCAGTAAAGCACCTTTCCATAGCTGATATGTGCACCCCAAAAGCCATCTTATTACTTGCCCCAGCCTGGATCACAGAGACACTGAGTTTAACCCAGTAATTTCTGCAACAGACTTTGTTTCTCTTTGAAACAAGCTTTTGCTGGGAAAAGCTCTTTCAGTAAAATGGGATATTACTGAAATAATACTGGGATATTATCTGGGATAGCTTTTTCAGTAATATGCCCTTTGCTGAGAGCAAAGCCCACCCGTCAAAGGAAGGAGTTCCATAGCTTGTGAACGGCACTTGATCATCTGTCCTGTTCTGACCATGTCCTAATAATGTTCCTGTTTTCATCTGTTTTCAGTTCAGACTAAGAGACCTCTGAGAGAAATCTCTTACCTATGTTTACTGAGCATGATCGAGCCAGCTCGACTTTGTTCCTGCAGTGAACTGAACCTATCAGACTTGTCAAGTCTCTCTTATGGTATCTTTTGCAGACCTCACCGTTTCTTGCAACTCTTGCCATATTTTGTTTGTTTGTGTTTGGTTTTTGCTTTGCTTGGTTGGGTTTTGGTTTTTTTTTTTTTATTCATTTGTTTAAGTGAAGCAAGATGTTTTGGGAGATCCTGGGTGCTCTGTTTCGTTAGTTTCACTCTCCCTGGGGCACTTTCTGCTTTTGCTCTTGTCAGCAGGTAAAACATCACTGTTGAGTCTTCCAGGTAAAACATCACTGTTGATCACTGTGATCTGTTAACAACAGGAACCACATCTATAGCAAACAGCACAGGATGACTTAGAAGAGGTTTTCACATACTGGTTGGTAGGACTCCTATTTCCTTGTACCCTCAAGAGCAGTGATCCACCTCACCTGAAATGCCAATATTTTTTCATATTAGTACAGTATAGTTGCTGGCTCAGTGTCATTCAGAGCAAAAGCAGCATAACTGCAAGCAACCCTTTGCTTTTGCCAGCTCTGAGAGAACCTCAGAAAAATATACCACCCCCAAAAATATTGAAACTGGGTAATGTAATACTTTTGTCACTCTAGAGTATCTCTGGAATAACTTCTGGCTCCCAGGTTGTAGCATTCCAATTAGGAGAGATGCAATTCACAGCTTTGCTTGTGTGCTAGCAACGTGAAGAAGCTCCGAATGGTCTTGGGGCCACAGCAAGTAATTACTTTACAGAACAGTCTTTATTATCTGCAGCACTTGCAGTGGTTCTTTGAGTACTGGACAATTTTGTGCTGACAGAACTGAACCATTTAACAATCTTCCCAGTGCTTACTCTAAACTTCAGAAACACCCATGAGTCTCTGAGGAGGCGCTTGTGTTTGGTAGCTGCAGGCAAATCTCTGTGCATTCATTAAGAAATGGTTGGCTGAGGGAACAGATGTGATGGTGGCTGCAGGAATGTCAGTGTGGGTGAGATACACGTCGTTAATGAGCAACATTAAAGCCCAAGATACAGGGATTTAAAGGGAGGCATTAGAGCCCTACTTGTTAATCAGGAATATAAAAGTATCATTTCCTCCAGGACAGAGCTGCAGGGGAAGGCAGAACAAATACACAGGAGATGATAGCTGGGGAAACTGGATAAGGCATATCATGAGATTCCTCTTGCAGATGAAGGTTAGATTGTCAGCACTTTGCAGGACAGGTATTTGTTTGCTCTTTGTTGCACACCACACCACTGTATTAATAGGGATTTTTTCCAGGGCTTCCAGTTACTATCAAAACATAGAATAATCATTATAAGCAATAAAACAACTACCATCTTCTTTCTGTAAAACTGAAGAAGTCTCCACATTGACATTTTCTTTGTAAACCTGGAATTCGTACATGAGAGCTTCTAATCCAATTTTATATCTACAGATTTATAGGGGTGGAAAAATCTTGGCAGGTCGGAGTCCAGTTCTCTCCATGGTCTCCAGAGGAAACATTTGCTCCACTTGCAGGTTGGGGCCCTGCAGTGAAAGCAGGTGAACCAGCACATGATGGGTGCCTTGCCTTCCCCTCAGGGTGCTGTGGGGCTCAGCACCATCCTGGGGGGCTCAGCACCCACCACATCAGACCTGCCAAGGGCAGGCTGAGGCACTGCCATGTTCTGCCCCACAGGCAGCTCATCCAGCCCCTGCCAGCATTTCTGTTTTGGTGGTTGCAGGTGTCTGAGTCAGGGCTGTAATTCCCTCATTAGTGGTGAAGCTGCAGCAAACCCCTTCATTAAGGAAATGTGTGTTTTCCACTTTAGATGCAGTTTGGGCTGTGGGGAACAAGCAGCAGTCTGTTCTCTCACTGGGGTGTGTGGGAGCAGCACTGAACTGGCAGTTTTAAGTTTAGCATTGGGAATGTGGGATCATGTTATTCAAATTGTTGGTTTGGTTGTTGCTTTTAAATAGTTACCTGATGCTATTTTGGGTTGGAAGCTCCTGCAGCCATGCAGTTCACTCTCAAATTCCTCTTCCTTTTTCTATGTAAATAATATTGTCCCCATTCTCTCTGATGGTCAAAAGAGGGAGGCCAAAATGGATAGAACAAGGTGGGATTTCTCAGACTGGGAATTATCTTCTAACAGGACTGTAGTATGTCTTTCCTTGTTGTGATTTACATATGCATCCTAAATTACTTTTGGGCTGAGCTTATACATTTGTAAAACTTCAGCATTTGCAGGGTCTGAATCTTTTGAAAGCCCAAGACTAAAACACTAATACAGCATTACAGCTTTGCAGAGGATTTGATTACTGGGGTTAAATACAGGCTTTACTTCAATACCCTTGAAAGAATTCAGGTATCATAGTAATTACATGTTTTATGCATATGCAAATATGTGTTTGTGTGCATATCATGGAAGCTTAAACAAATAACAAAGTAACTGCACAAGTAAGAGAGGGACAAGTGTTTGCTCTCACTTCCTGACAGGGAAATCTGGGGGGAAACATCAGTTTCAGAAAAAGAACAGTTCAAAGCTTACCAGACATGCAACCGTTGAGGGCAGCAAGTGAAAGTGGATCCTACCCAGTAGCTGTGATTTCTTACACCAGCAAAGCCAGCTCAGCTGAGGTCTTCCATTAAATACACGGCACATAACAAAGAGCAAAGCAGTTTGACCACCTTATTAAGAACCAGCCACCAATGGCTCAACCTAGTACCAGTATTATTCAAAGGCCTTCATATTTTTTTTTTTCAGTGTTTTTCAATTTATGATGCTTGTATTATGCTTGGTGGACTTTTGAGATGTTAAGAAACAAGGCACATGTATCATTAATCTCTAATGTATATTGTCTGCTGTTTGCAGGGATGTGGAAGATGCAGGTCCCTGCTCAGGACATCCCCTGTCACAGCTGGCAGGAGCTGAAGGGACACACAGCACAGAGCTGGTGGGGTTTGTAATGCAGATGTACAGCGAGATGGAATGGGAGTAATGGCTTTTCTCTGCAAAAAGATACAGAACATGCACTGTGTAAGCTGGGTGACACCAACTTATGAGATCATGAGGTGAGTTTTTGCCCCCAGGGGAAACATGTGCCTGCACAGCCATGGAGGAGCCACTTTCCTTCTCCTGTCGGGCTCTCATGAGACACAGGAGCAGACTCAGAACTGGTGATTTTTCAGCCTTTTCCAGCACTTCTGAAGACAATTCCATATGTTCTCTTTTCGTGCACGGAGTTACAACTGGAATAAATAATTATGGATTATTAAGTCTGAATGTGGACAGGGCACCACCCAGGAAAAAACGTTTGTTTTTCAGCCTTTTACTGTGCCCCTCATGGCCTGAAAGTGAGTGGTCTGGACTATCTGCACCTCCTCCTGTGATGGTCTCCTGGCCTCTCCAGTCAGAATCAGGGGGGCTCATTTTGTTCTTGGAGCTGTGATATTTCTTTGCAACCACCTTCTATTTTAGAACACATATTTTTGTGTTCGAAAAGTACTTTCTCAGATTATGTACAATTCCAGTTATTTAATTTATGAGGATAAAAATACAAAGTGGGAAATAGAAGGTAACCCAGACAGACATGGAGAACAAATAGAAATAATTCAGTACAAGCAAAATATTCGATTCATCTTCTCAAAGTGCCTTTTCTCCAATAATGGAACCCTAAGTTCTGTCCATATGTCACAGAGATACTCAGCAATGTTACAGACTCCTCCTCCGCACCAGACTTTGTTACTTCTGACAGGTCAGAGCCAGAGTTGAGCTACAGATGGGAAATAAAAAATAGAGCCTTCCAACCTCTCGTTTCCCCAACAAAGTTGTTGAGGAAAATTGTTTTGTTTTTTTTTAATCATTACCTTTCAATGTTTCCTTTAAAGCCTTTAAGCCACTTGGTATCTTCAAGAATAAGGTGAAATTATTTTGCTAAACAAAAGCACTAAGGTCACCTGCCTTCCAGCTTCACAGACACTGAGTATTTCAGTAGCATTACTAAACTTTTACATCTTCCCTCTTCTGTAAGTTGTCTTGCAAGTGCTCTTCTTTTGACCAAAATACAGGCCAGGGTATTTCAGTTGTGACTGCAGAAAACTTCATTTTCCCAGATGAAACACTGAAAGGGTGTTTGGGCTCTGGGCTGTCACTAAGAGCCCTGCAGAAAAGTGTCTCGTTCCTCCAGCTTTGGTAAAGGGATATTACCTGAGGGAAAACAAACAGGAAGTTTCATGAGACCAGCAGTAGGTTATCTTCTGGATTGTACAACCTGGCACTAAAGTGCTTCTCTGGTTTATTCTAAACATGTTCAGGCAGCTTAAATTCCCTGAGCAAGTCAGGAAAGTAAATCTTGTCTGAGTTCCTGTAGAGAATCGCTCAACATGCGCACTAACTTCAGCCAGATCAGCCTCTGTACTGCTTTTGGACCAATAAATTACAGTTTTACACAGATGGCTACATTTATTTTAGTACTTCCCTATTGTTAGCTAGGATTTCTGGAAGTAAATGCAGCTATGGCAGGTTATATTCCTCTGGTTAATTCAAGCGAGATTAAGAGGTTCTTACAAACAAGTCAATACCTGGTGGGGCTACAAAATACTCCTCTACTTTCTCTCTGGCGTTTTCCAGCAGCTCTTTGGTGCAGTTGCCCTCTGTCACATCATCTTCTCTGAGGTACAGACACCTGAAGAACACAGATTACTAGTTGTGTTTAGGCCTATTTTATGAAGTAGGAAGGGTAACTTATCTCTAAACCTGGTTTTGGTCCTTAGTAAGCACTGAGACAAGTACTGGAATATTTTGAAGCACCCAAGAATGCCACTGACAGACGCCTGGGGAGCAGCCTGTGCAGACCAATCTTGACAACACAGACTGAGGAGCTGAAGTTCACCTTTGCCATGGTCACAGGTAAGGATCCCATGGGCCAGTGGCATCTTTCTCCTACACACAGCCATGATAAGACATGTCTGTAACCAAAGGGGCCATTTCTGTAAGCAAAGGGTGATTCTCAGGGATAAAAAGGTCACAAAAGCAAACAGTTTGATACATTAAGAGATAAAAGGAGGCTGCTGTGATCCATCACCTGTCCTCCAGGACTGAATCCATGGGTTCCACACCATCAGTGTTCACTTCATGAAGCTGATCAGCAAACTCGATTGCCTTCTGCAGCCGCTCCACACCCTCCGAGTCACGGAAATCCACCAGGGCCAGGTGCTCCAGGTGGTCCAGCACTTCCACCGACACTTTTTGCTGTGAAATCCGGACAAAAAAAGGCAAAGGTGAGCAAGTTTAATAGTATTACTTTTTTTTTTTTTTTTTTTTTTTTAACTAAAAACCCGTTCCGCGGCAAAACCCATCACAAAGAACCGCAGAACCGTTAAGACTGGAAAAGCCCTCCGACACCACCAGACCCAACCGTCCCCGTAGAGACAGGGCCGGGACCCGCCGGGTTGCGCTGCTCGCCCGGGGAACTTTGTCAAGGTAACTCGGTGTGCGTCCCTCCCCCCCGCGAGGCGTCGCGGTACCTGCGGCGGGGGCCGCTGCGCGCCGTGCCCGCTGTGCCGCCGCGGGGGGACCCTCCAGGCGCGGACCGACGGTGACAGGGACCGCGACAGCGCCCGCGACAGCGACAGGGACCGCGACAGCGACAGTGACAGCGACAGAGCCCGCATCGCCTCACTCCCCGACCGGGCCGTGACGTCACGCGCGGGAGTGACGTCACCCCGCGCGCCGGACGCGCGTCACGGGGCGGGCCGGGCCGGCCCGGCGGGGCCGCCGCCATGAACAGCGTGGGCGAGGCGTGCACGGAGCTCAAGCGCGAGTACGACCAGTGCTTCAACCGCTGGTTCGCCGAGAAGTTCCTCAAGGGCGACAGCGCCGGCGACCCCTGCGGGCAGCTCTTCAAGCGGTACCAGCTCTGCGTGCAGGTGGGTTCGGCCCCCGAGCTCCGCTCCCCGAGCTGCTGCCGCCGCCCCCGGAGCGGCCTCGGCTCCGCGCCCCGCCGGGCTGGCCTCGCCCTGTGCCTGTCGGTCGTGGCGTGAAGTGATAGGATGAGAGAACGCGGTCTTAAACTGTGCCAGGGAAGGGTTAGGTTGGACGTGAGCTCAAATTTCTTCACGGAAAGGGTGATGAGACATTGGGACGGTCTGCACAGGGAGGTGGTGGAGTCCCCGCCCCTGGAGGTGTTTAAGGAGGGACTGGACACACTCAGTGCTGTGGTCTGATTAACACGGTGATGCTGAGACACAGGTTGATCTCAGAGGTCTTTTCCGACCTCACTGATTCTGTGATTCTATGTTTTGCACCAAAGATTACATCACGTAGCACTATGAAGACATGACAAGTTTAATTTTTTTTGTTTTGTTGTCCTTCCTTTTCAGAAAGCAATCAAGGAAAAGGACATACCCATCGAGGGCCTGGAGTTCATGGGCCCGAGCAAAGGGAAAACTGAAAACTCCTCTTGACCTTGGCTGTGTGGCTGGAATCACTGATATGAGCCTTTGGACTAAGCACCATCACCAGGTGTACCACTAGGTGCCACCTGGATAAAACCTTTAGATCTTTGTTAACTGCTTTCTAGGAAGCAAGGAATCTTCTCTGCTTATGAAAACAAACAGCTAAAAAAAAACCCAGAAGACTGGATCATGTGGTAACTGCTGCCTCTTGTCCAGTGAATTTTGGTGGTGGTTCAGCACCTAACAGCTTAAAAATCCATGTGACCTAACTTCCTGTTGAATGTACTCTGTAACGGGGGAATGGTGATTGGAGCGAGCTGAGATAATTTATTTGTGATTGGTTTCTTTTGCTAATCTATATAACACTTGAAAGTGTTTAAAAATATGAAGAGGGTTGATTTACCTTGTCCCCTCTCTATGCTGCTGAATTTTGGTGGAAGAAGTTTGTTTCATGTCATCCTGAATGTTGAGGGGCTAAAGCATTATTTCCTGTCAGCTACAGAGATGGTCTAAAAGCACTAATGGGCCTTCAACTTTAGCTTGGCTAAAATAAATATAACCAGGTTATGTTTTGTTGAAGTTCAGAACTGTTCAGTAGAATCTGATTGTGGCCTGCTCAGGAGCTGAAGAGGAGCCTTTTCTGAGGCAGTGACCCAACCATGAACTTGAATTCTCTCTCCTTTAGCATTACATGTTCCCATGGCATGATCCTCACACAGGGATGGGGAAAAGCTGGCCCCTCTCCTTACACCAACAGAGGTGAAAGAGTAAAGAATATTATGGCCTGGGGACAAAAGAAAAGTCAACTTCCTAATTATCCTGGAATTACAGTGAGGGGAAAAAAGAGCTCCTACAGTGTCAGCACAGGGGTTAAATGTAGCACTGAAAAAAACAAGCTGTTGACAAACTGCTGGGTCACTCAGGTATAAATAAAAAACAGTGAGCTAAGGGAAAGATCTATAAATAGCATTTTGGGGACTGTTAGGTACGTAGCTTTTATTTCTTAAGGAATAACACAACCAGTTTGCTTTTCTATGATCCTTCATGTAGGGCTAAATGTAGCGTGATTTTTGTCAGCTTTAAAACAACTGTGCCTTGTTCTGTGCTTTTAACACAGAAGAACTTGTCTCAGCAGTCGTTTTATTGTAAGCAGATGAAATAAATTGCATTGAAACATGGGGAAGGATGTCCTGCAGCACCCACCTTGAGACTCTCTCTTGCCATCCATCATCCTTTCAACAGCAAGATGCTAAGGCAGCTGCTGCATTCTTCCTTTTGGGAAGAACAGGATAAACGACAGCTGAGACAAGAGCTCAGTTTTGTACCGTGCAAAAAATAGAAAAGTTGCAGAAAGAATCGGAAAACAGTTGACTTGCAGCAAGGAGAAACTCCAAAGAGAATGTGCTGGCACAGACTCAGGCTGTTGGCTGTGGAAGGTCACTCATCCCCTGTAGGTTAACCAGTTTTTGCATGACACGATACACATTATACAAGTATGTGCAGTGGGGCCTAAAATTGTGGTTTCTTTTGCAAGACTTGTGTGACTGACTCAAACAACCAGACTGCAGCTTTATGGAAAGCAGAGTTGTGAGCAAGATATGTACTGATACACCTGAAAATTTGAGAGCTGAGGGGGAATGTTGTGAAGGCACACAGAGCTTAGCTCAACACCTTTTGCTGCCAGTCCCTCTGCCAGAAGGGACCAAGAGAAGAATCACCTTCATGACTGTGAATAAATATTGCAATAGCTGATTATGGAGAATGTGCTTCAGTATATACTGAATTTTAATCTACATACCTGTTCTGGCTGTGGGTTTGCAGCCACGAGTTAAAACAGACATGAAGAACATGACACTGAGTCATGTCCCATGCCAAATGCGTTCCTGTTACCAGACACAGAAAGGCAGTCAAACCCCCTTCCTCCTGTGCTGTGTCCTGGGAGAAGCCTCCATGTTTTAAGCAAACACTGAAGAACTTCTAAGGATTCAGATTTAAAAAACCCCAGTCAAATCTTAAATTCGCGTTCAGAGTTGTTTATTTAAAGGACCTCATCACAGGTACACACAGAAGCCACTAACACTGCTCAGCTTCATCTCAAATGGAGAGTTTGTGAAATTATGACCCCAGAAACGATGGTTCCCACTCAACATGCTGCTTCAAGACGGGGAGAGCCAAAGTTCTGGCTGTCTAGGCAGGACCTTTAATCTTCATAACCAGTTGGGAGAGCGTTAACATGGGGGTTGTGAAACAGAGTCTTGTTCCCATCACCCCAGGGGAAAGGCTGTTGAAAGAAGAGAGAGAATAAGCCAGTGACAGCTCCTGAACAATCTGTACATCACCAGAAATCAAACAGCAGTCCAGACTCAAACATCAGTGACAGGACAAGGGGACACGGCCTCAAGCTGTGCCAGGGGAGGTTCAGACTGGACATCAGGAGAAATTTCTTCATGGAAAGTGTTGTTAAACATTGGGATGGACTGCCCAGGGAGGTGGAGCTACCATTCCTGGATGTGTCTAAGGATAGACTGGACACAGTACTTGGTGCCATGGTCTAGCTGATAAGGTGGTGTTGGGTCACAGGGTGGACTTGATGATCCTGGAAGTCTTTTCCAATCTACATGATTCTGTGATCATACAGCTTGACAGGCTGGTGAATTAAGCAAGCTGGCATCTGTTCCTAGGCTGTAGGAAGCAAGGGTTGGAAAACTGTCTCCTTTAGCCGGGAGTCACAGTCTCTGAACAGCAAGATCTTTGCTCTTGCTTAAACATCTAGTGTTGTGTTATCAGACACAAAAACAGGTATTAACACTCAGGCAGTCAAACCGTTTTGCTCCTGCACTGTGTCCTGTGGGAAAATACGAGGACTACAGTTTTGAGAATCTGGGATGTCCTCTATTAGCTTTAAGCTGTGTTATTAGTTTAAGTACAGCAGCTTTAGGACTGAAACATTTTCCAGCAGGACATTATTAGGAGGATCACTCGCGGGTGGGAAGAGCTGTGAGAAGCTCTCTTACTGCCTCAGAAACAAAGCCCTGGGGTGAGATCGCGGCTGTGCACGCACAGCACCTCGCTGAGCAGATGGGAAAGCAAGAGGTGCTGCAGCGAGCACAGATACACAGCCCCGAGGGAGAGAGGGCTTTCAAACAGCGCAGAGGTACCTTGGTCCTGATCCGGAGGTGGGTGTAGGGCACGAACTCGGGCCTCTCGTGCTTATGCTGCGCCTTCAGGTAGCAGTTCAACATACACACGCCCACCCCGGGCAGCGCCACCACGAAGGTCAACATCCTCCAGAGCTTGGCTGAGCGGGAGAACAACCACGGCTGCCATCAGCGCCAGCGGCCCCGGAGCGCCTCAGACGCAAGTATTTGGCTAACGAGGCGCCACCGATGGCTCCCCAGGCCGCCCCCGCTCCGCAGGGCCCACACCGAGCGCCCGCCCTGCCCCGCTCCCGCGGAGAAGGGCAGCGGCCTCTCAAGGGCAGCGCGGCCCCGGCTCCCCTCGCCCCGCACGGCCCCGTTACCTCCGCCGCCCTCGTGTGCCGCGGCCGCCATGCCCCGCCGGGGCGGGGAGAGCGGGCCGGCGGCGCCGAGCAGCGCCCGGGACACCCTCGCCAGCGCCGCCATGTCCTCCGCGACCGCTCCCCGGAACCGGAACGGGGAACCAACGCCGGCCCCGCCGACCTTGAGCCGGGCACGGCGCTGAGGGCGGGCTGTGCTGAGGGCGGGCAGTGCTGAGGGCGGGCTGTGCTGAGGGCGGGCTGTGCTGAGGGCGGAGCCGGCGCCATTTCGGGGCTGAGGGCGGGGCGGTGGCGGGGAGCGGTGACAGGGAGTCACGGCGTCATTCGGACTCAGAAACACGGCGTGACACAATCCTCTGGGTTGGAAATGATCTCTGGGGTCATCTAGCCCAACCTGCGACGCAACACCACCGTGCCACGTCCAGTCCGAACACCTCGGGGACGGTGACCCCACCTGTGCAGCCCGTTCCAATGTCTAATCGTCCTTTCTTGTGAAGAAATTCTCCCTAATGTCCAACTTCATCCTCCCCCGGCACAGCTTGAGACTGTGCCTTCCTGTCTTGAATTTTCTGGGAGAAGAGACCGAACCCCCCAGGTAATTGAAGAGAACAATAAATAGCTTAGAGAGTGAAAAGTTCTGGCGCTGTAGGGATGTCCCAGGCGTGAAGGGATCAAAGGGCCCCTGGAACAGGGCAGTTCTGTTACCACTAATGTGTTTTTGATTATTTATATTCCTGGGATAATTCCACAGAAATAATAACATCACTTGAATAAACACAAGACTTCAAGGGGAAAAAAGCATCGTAATTAATTTACAAATATCTAGATCCTGTGTTAGTTCTTCATTGGAGCTTGGTGGCTGGCTGGGTGACCTTTGGCAGAAGCCATGAAAGCGGAGAGAACATTTTCCAGCACTTAAAAGCCCACAGTAAAATGAGAGGATTCCCACAGTGGGTGTAAAGATTATAACAGTGGGAAAGCAGAGAAACGGAGCTTCTGGGAAGGGACTTCTCAGACCAGACCTTATCACTTGTGTCCAGTTTTTAATAAGCAATTTTAAGAACAGTTTTGCTTCCATACTGAAAGGAGAAGTTATTCCCAGGTGGCACTGTGTGTACCTACAGAACTGTTCTTCTGTCTTCACTGATATGATACATTTTGTACAGGACAGCCCTCAAATCATTGCAGCTCACCATGTGCGTGCACACCTGCTTTGCTAAATCCACATTGGAGGTAGATTTTGCCTTTCCTCGCCTTCATCCTTTGGATTCAGGTTTATGAGATGTCTAATGTCAGACTTTTAATTTAAAAGGAATTTGCATGTGGTTTTTTGAAGGGAACAGAATATCCGAGAATTATTTTGTACAATTTTTCAGTGATGAAACCAAGATTAAGTTCTGTATCCTAAAGCAAACTTGTAGCAGGAGCTATCTAAACAAAACTACTTTTATGTGTAGCAAAAAAACTTTTAAGGAACCATCAGACACTAATGTTTACAAGTGAGAGAAAACAAAGGATCAGCAAAACAAGCAAACTTCTGTCTAGGATGAGGAAAAGTTCTCTTGGCACAGCTGCCCGAGGTGCCCCTTTGTGAGCACTTCTGCCCACGGAGCTGCAAGAGGCTCATGGAGAGCGACTGAAAATGGGGTTTGGTCTGTCCTGAACCTGAGTGTGGTGGCAGTTTTGTTACAGTCTGAGTGACACTGGTTTAAAATGGGTGTGTCTTAGTCTTTATCATCCCAACCGCTGCAATTAATCTCTGTATGAGGTGTGTCAGGACTCTACTGGGTCTGATTCACATCTTATTCAAATGTAGTATAAATTAGGAGTGGCTGCTGGGAGACACAAAAGATTCCACGTGAATAATTCCTTCTAGCTGAGGGAAGACAGGCAGGTATTTGAGGAAACCTGGATATTTTAAGAAGAGTATTGTGAATAATGTTTTGACGTGGCTGTATGAAATAAGTTTAACAGTGCAATATGTGATGGTTATTATCGCTGTGATGATTGCAGTCCTCCTGACAGCACGTGTTTTTACAAAGGTGTGGGAAAAACGAGTGAAAAGTCAGCTCTGGCTCTGTAGCTGTGTCTGGATTATTGACCCATGGCATGAGAACCCCTCAGCGCTGCTGTGCTCTGCTGCCTCACAGAAAGGGGATGTTTTCCCAAAACTGACCTCTCTGAGGGCCTTGAGCTTGATTCAGACACTCTCTTACTATCTTGAAAAACCTGGGCCTAAATCCAGCATTTTGAGCAAGTTACAACACGTACATTTTCCCAAAAGATCCAGTATCCTGGGAGCCCTTTGAGTGCAGAAATGCTACAGAATTAGCCCCGAGAAGGAAAATAAATATATATATATATATATGTCTATAAAGTGCTGGTAGCCAGACACTTAGAGGAAGCAATTTCAGTGTGGTGGTGGGATGGGTGGAGGTCAGGCCAGAACTCCCCTAACCTGATTTGGCTGCCCAGTGTCTGTCTGCTGCTGGATGTGCAGCAGTGACATGTGACACTTGGGATCACGTCACTGTTCAGTTTAGCAAAATTTGAATGATTGCAGTGAGCTGGTAGAGGTGAGGTTCAGTACAGGTGAAGTTGACTCACTGCACTGAAAAAGAATGTTTGCGGCACAAAAGCAAGCTCGGGTTTGTATGAACTGGGCACAGAAATGCCTTTTTTTTATATTTTATTTTATTTTCCTGGCTGAAGTGGTGGGTAGCAGAGAGGAGGGCGCGGAGAACAGCGGGAGCCACCGATGAGATGGGATGGGATGGATCCCAGGAGCTCCGAGCAATGCCGGCCCGGGCCGCCTGGTGGCAAACTGCTTTCACTGGAAGCGCCTCTCCCTTCAGCAGGACTGGGAACAACAAATGCGCTCTCTGGGATTGGAGACTGTAATCTTACGCCTCTGCGTTTTCAAGTCTTCAGGGCCCAGCTCATCCCTCTCGAATAGAAACGTTCCCTCCATCAGATACTGTCTTAACAAACGCTGAGATAGACAGAAGTGCTGCAGAGATAGCGCCTGTGTCTCAAACTTCACAGAGTTTCTGGGGGCAAAAGTTTCCTTCATCTTCTCCCTGTAGTCCTGGAACAGCAGAAATCAATATTCTGACATCTGTAAATCCTTTGTTCCCCTTTTCACCAGGGCTTTATCAGCTTTGGGAGGGAGGGAGGGGGGAAAGAGGGCGTTGAGAGAGCCATTGTCCCTTCTCAAGGGAATGATCTGGAACTACTATGCAAATCTCTATTTGAAGACCCTGGGAACTGGGGGAGGGCTTTAGCTGCGATCTCAGTGGGAGGGGAGCTCTGCATCCCTGCTCACACACTCCTTCCTAGTGCAAGGAGCTGGGAAGAGTCTTTTGAACGGGCAGAAGAGACATTCTGTGCTTTGTGCGCTCCTGTGAGGCTTTGCACTCCTTATGTCTTCTGCTTTGTGCTTTTTTTTTTCTGCCTGATTTTTCTAAATGTTTGCATAAGAACTGGGGAGGGGAGAGACCCGAGAGCTGCGATTAGCAGGGATGGAGTCGGGAGGGTGTCTCACCCCCTGGAGTCTCCCACCAATGAGTGGAGCAGCTCCAGTGGTTCTAGCACATCTACATCCTGACTGCTGGTGTTGGCACAGGGCACGGGCACAGCTTCAGTAAAGCAAATGATTCAGCTGGTCAGGAGTGGAGTGGAATAGTTTGCGGTTCTCAAATTATTACGTTGTAGCCAGGTCTTAAAAAACTACTTCTTACAGGGGCAAAGACCCGCAGAGCAGAACCTGCTTTGTGAAGCCCTGTGGTCTGTCCTGGTTGGCTCTGTTTCACCTGGTTTTTATTAGGGCAGGGTCACACTAACTGCCAGCTTCCTGGAAGTTGTGTAGGGTCCTCCTTAGGCCTCATGGAAGGGGAGATATCCTGACTGTGCAGCCACAGGGATGAAGAGGACAGTGGGGGAGGGACAGTTACAGATCCATATCTAGGCATTTCTGTGTTTATAATTGCTTATGTAAAGGCAGTTACAGTTCTTTTGATTCTGTGACCTTTATTTTCATGGTGTCAGTCTCAGTGTTTATCTTTCAAACATTGAGGGGTTTTGTGTTCCAGAAAACCAAAATTTACTTTTGAACAATGACAGCCCTGGAAAATGCAGCACTTTTCTCTCTCTCCTAGGCATCTGAGAAGATGCAGCCATTTAAAAATCTCACCTTCTGTCAAAACCATAGGAACACATGCCCTGAGACCTGATTCTCTGTTACCTCCCACGTTATAGCCAAAGTGTTTGTTCTGCAAGTACTTTACTGCTTTGTGGAGGGAAAGTGCATCACACCCGTGCTCTCATCGGCTCCCTTTTTTTCCGTGTGTAACTCCAGAGTGACTCAGCTGAGTTGGGTGAACCCCTGGAACTGTGCTAGCTGGAAACCAGCCTGAACGTGCCCTCTGGCTCCTGTGAGTGCTCCCAGTACCTGTGCACACTCCTGCGTCCCTGCAGATACTTTTCTGAGGGCACTTGTTTGCAGGGGGGCTGATGTCTGAATGCACATTCTTCTCATGCAAACACACATCCTCGAGTGCACACAGCCACTGCCTTTCTCTCATACACATTTGTGCACATACACAGACCTTTTTGAAAGCTCCTGTTTTCAGAAAGGTTTTATTTATAGGTCCTGCCTGGTTGTGAATGTGAAAGGGAGAGAGCCCCTCAGAGGGTTCCTTTCATGTGTAAATCAGCCTAGGCTGAGAGCATTGGGGTCACTGAGAGGAGGATTTCACTCTTAATTACTCAGAGAGAAAGCAGGCAGGGGACTTTCTCAAACTAATAGGGTTGTTCTCTGCTGGGGAAAGCAGCTTGAGACGCCCAAACTTTTCTTGCATCAGACTTCAGGCTCTGATTCACAGGCCTCTTCTGCCAGTAGCAAGAGCTGGTTGTCTATGTGGCACTTGGAACAAACAGTTCAGCTTCCAAAACAGCTTACTTATTAAAGATGGTTATGTTCACTCTGATAATTGGGTGTTCTTTGGAGACCAGCAGAACTGACCTAGCCTGCTTTGTTCTTTTGCCACTTTTATTAAAAAGTATGTTAGTTAGTGATACATCTATCTGTGACTCCACCTGAGGACCTCAGTAGCCTTTCAGACCTGAAGGCTCCCACCTCTCTGCCAAGCACAAAAATGTTGTTGTCTAGAGATTAGTCCAGTGAGCAGGACTCTGAACTTGGACTTAAAACCAACACTGAATTCCCAGTTCAGCCACTGAATGCCTTTGTGTCCTTAGCTGTGGAACATTCTCTCTAGAATGGGGCTCTTAAGAGCAGAAGTCTTTGGACTGTGATACTCTTGGCTGCGAGTGCCAGGGTAAAGGTGGGTGATGAGTGTGTCTGGAGAGATGTGTCTTTTTCCTGGGATGCAATGCAAGCACGGGGATTCCCCTGCTGAAGTAGCATTATCATCTTTCATCCCTGGACACAAAACTGAGTCTGGAAGTCTGCTGCAGAGATGGGAGTGGCCAGTCACCAGCCAAAAAGTTGTCTACAGGGACTGCAGGACCTTCTTGAACACCTGCATGCTAACAGGAGGTGTAGCTGTCAGTGGTTTCAGCAAAGAGATCTATGCTGTCAAGTGCACACTCACACACAGGCAAGTGTGTTTTTTAGCTTCACCTGACAAAGCTAAATTCATACCCTCTCGTCTTTACCTCCTTTTAATTTGGCCTCTGCTTTTCTGTACAGAAAATAAACGTGTTGAGGGCTGAACATTCCCAGCCCATGCACCAACAGCCTCCTGGGAGCTCTGCTTTGGGATTCTTGGAGCTGTGTTAGTTCAGCTTGCCTGGGAAGGCAGAGGGTTTAGTCTGAGAGCACCTGTTTGAGGATGCCCAGCAGTGGTGGGAGCCATGGGCAGATGAGGTCAGCAGTCTGAAGTGTCTGCAGAGGTCAGAGGGAAACTCTGACTGAATGGGCCATTTCTCTTGCAAATGAAGAGCTGAAGCCTGGAGCAGCCTTAGCTGAGCCCAGCATGTGGGTCCAGGCTGTTCCTTTTATGAGCTGATGGAAATGGGGCCCAAAAGGACTTCCCTGATGGAGTTCTATCACAGCCTTTGTTATCTTTCCTGCAGCAAGCACTGGGCATAGAATATGGATTGGGGGTTATCCTGACTACCAGCACAGTCAGGAGGATGAAGGCTTTATGGCTGCCTAGAAAACCTAAGGCTGCAGAGTATCCTTATTGCCATTCCAGGAGGAAAATCTTGGTTTAAAATGTAGAACACATGTATATTTCTGCTGTAGTGCTCCTTTTTACCCAACCTACACTAAAATGAATAAATCCAAGGGCTGCTTTAAAATAATGCACATAACTGAGTAAGGGATTGAAAAGCCTGGATTCTGTTCTTCCTTCTGGTGGGAAACTGTCAGTTACTTTGATAAAACCCTATGAATGTCTGTGCTTCTCTTTTTCTGCCAAACACCAGAGAAAGGTAGTGTATTCTTTTTTTCTAAAATATTTTGAGGATTTTGGGTACAGAATGCTTTATATATACAAAATGTTGCTGTTAGCACCATCTATCAGTGAAATCTCTTTTAGTCTGCTTTTATGAAATACTGTTACTTTCTCTGAATTGTTGATTTAGAATTAATTTTAATGTTATGTAAACAATGTCAGTTCTCTCTTAACCACTTGCTCTTTTGCTTCTTTGCAGACCACCAGGGAACTCCCTTAGCTGTGACATTGTAATGGGAGGTGGAGACACCTCGAGGAGAAGGTCGAGACAGGCAACAGCAATTACAGTCAGTAACATCTCTGACTTGCCTCAATTACAGGTTAGTGTGATCTGTGCATGCCATCTTTCCTGTGTGCAGGTATTTACAGTGAGGCAGGACATGAAAATAACTGTTTCCCTTGTAGGAACTTTAGGAGCAGCTTCATATTATTGTGTTTTCCCAGCCTCAGATAGAGTAGGGCAGGGTAGGGGGTTTAAGGAAAGGCAGCTAAGGTTGTAATAAATGTACTCAGGGTTTCCCCTCACTGCTGTGATGTTGCAGCCCTGCCAAGCAGCTAGAAGTTAGAACAGTCCTGGGACTGCCAGAACTTACACTAAAGGGAAAATGAACTTATGTTTAGATTTTACTTTTCAACCTCTGCTGTGTGTGGACGATTGTTTTTCGTGGCTTTCATCTCTGTTTTCCTTTAGAAACCTCAGGAGAACTGTCCACCCTTCAAATCTGTTTTGATGTGTTTTAAATGCATGACATGGAGCACAGCCACTCTCAGTAGGTTGCAGAAAGAGGCCATCAAACCATAACACTTCTTTGGAGGGGTGAGCTTGTTCTTTATTCCCTAGAAGCGTCAGCCAGGTTTACACCACTTTGTGTAGGAAGAGCTGCAGGAGAAGATGAATGTTCCTGAGGGCTCAGAGGCATTTTCATGTTTGGGGTAAGGCTGAGGTTAGCCGTGGAGCCCGTGTCCAGGCAGTAATTTGACAGCAGACATGGGCACGCAGTAATGTAGGCTCTGGAAATCGCAGGAGCCTGCTGAGTTATTGTGAGCTGGAGGAGCTTTTCTGTTTGTGGGCACATGGGTCTGCCTGCCTCACATTGTGCAGACATAACTGAGACATAAAGGAGGCTGGCAAATTGCAGAACATTGATGGAAGGGGGGCAGGGGGCTGAGGAAGAAAAGTTAAGAGTTCGAAGACAAAAGGCTCAAGCCTAGTTGTGAATTCCTAGCAGGTAGCTGGTCTTTAAATGGAAGCATTTGTCAAGTTACTCACTGATTTAATGTGGGAATTGGATAGATATCTGCAAAGGTTTTTGCACCCTGTCTGCAGTGTGATTACAGGAGATTTAACAAAGAAAGAAGTTTTACTTTCTCCCAAGGTATGTATTTGTTCACGCACCTAAAATATATAGGGCAGGCAGTATAGATGACATTATAAAAAATGAGGCATACATGTTACATATAGTGTTTCCACAATTGTGACAGATTGTAAATGAGGCCTGTAACTTGCTTTCCTTCTGGTAGTGCCCCATCATACCATGAGCACCACTGCTGGATTACCCAGGGCCTCGCATCGGCCACACTGTGGCTGTTGGTCTGGATCCCCTGTCCCACAGAGCCTCCTGCTTTACCTGGGCAAGGCACCTGGCATTTCCATTAGGAGCAGCTCCTTTCTTTCACCTGTGTTATCATCTCCTGTCACTGCACTGGGACCTCGGTGTCACGATGCAGTGCCTTGGCTGTTCTCAGCAGTGGCTGTGATCAGGCTGCACGTCTGTGCTGTGCCTGCCACCGAACTGCTGGGACAGATGCATTCCACAGAGCCAGCCAGCAGCTCTGTCTGGGCAGCGTGTAACCCCTCTCTGTGCCTGCTGGAACTCTGTTAGGGAATGTAACAGGTTGGTAGGCAGTCCCCCTGCCACAGCTCTAGCTGATGCACAGCCTTGTAGTATTTTTAGATTGGACCATTATTTCAGGTTTGGTTTCGTCTATTTGTTTTGTTTTTTAAACTTTCAAAAGCCTCTTCTTGAGCCTTGAACCGTTCCTGTGCTTTAACCTTGTGAGTTAATTACTAAGGACTCACAAGTTGTTGATAGATGCATGCAGAAAGTAGCTACATGGTTGGTCATTCCAGTAAATCATTGGACTCTTCATGAATTTAATTCTGGGCTTTTCCTTAAAAGCCCTCTCCCAAACTGGACACAAGACAATGGACACCAGCAGGCACAGCTCCCAGTGACTAGGATATTGTCACATATCCAAAAGCCTGGTGGGAGGAGCAGACATTAGGTCTGAATTCGTCCTGGCAGGGAGATTTGGCTGAGGGAGAAAAAAAGAAGGTCAGAGGCAGCTCCAAGGAAACGGCTTTGGTTTAAAATGTTTCATTAGAGTTTTCACACTGGAAACATAAAGTACAGGAATACAATTGCTTGGCAGAGAAGCCACATTTGGTAGCAGTCCTGTATACATTCAGTGCTCTGTATGGAAGGAGACACAATATATCCCTGGCCACCTCAGCAAAATTACGGGTTGCTCTTCGGAAAGGTGACTTTTTTCCAAAATAGCTTACGTAATCTGGAGAATTTTTTTAATCAATATTGATAAAAGATGTTCTTTTTTCAGCAGACCATTGCTCTCTACTTTATCTACTCAGCCTTTCCAGGGCAGACTGGCTTTATCTAAGCAGTGTATCAATGTCAGTCCAGCTGGGAACACTACTGGGATGCTCACCTTCTGTTTTCCCCTTCCCCTCTCTGTCTGTCTTTGATTTCTCCTGTTGTAATTCAATGGGATAATCAGGGATACCCTTTTCCAAAGGGCTAGTCTTTCCCTGTTGATTCAACAAGCTCCCTTTTTGAAGACAGTTGTTATCTGCCACTTGGGCTTTGTTGCCTCAGGACGTTTCACCTCCCCATGCAGGCACACATACCTGTGAGACCTGCCAGTGCAGGGCTGTGGCAGAGGTCACCAGGGAGGAGGTAGGAAATGGGTATCAGTGTGTCTCAGCTGTTTTCTTCTTCTGGGACATAGCTCCACCAAAGAACTGAGCAGTTGAAATGTCACAGAGGAGTATGTGGTATGGATGGATTATTTTTTAAGGGAAGCCAGAATTAGTGTACATTTGGTTTTTTCTGGTTTAAAATATAGGTGAAAAATTTGGAGGGGCTTTGTTGTTACATCCCAATGGCAGTTTTAAGTTTACTCTGGCTTAGAAAGGAGGGTTTTCCAACAGCCTGGCAAAACAAAAGCACACATACAGTGCCCTGCAAAGGTCATTCCTGACCAGACCCCGAAACAGCTGAAGTACAGATTGCCAATATTTCACACTGACAACCTATGTGGCATATTTGTACCCAGGTTCTTTTGTCAGCACTTCCAATAATTTTTATGTTCTCCACTGGCTGTGCTGGGCAGCATGTTGACAGGGCCCTGGGTGCACCAGCTGACTTTGCAACCTCTTCTCCCTGTACTACAGGTTTGGCTGCCTGTGCTCGAGGTCTGTCATGATATGGTGGAGTGTAATCTGGGATCAGAGTGCTGGGAAAAGAAGTATGTGCCAAAGAGCTGGGAGAAGCCTTCTGAGGCCTCTGAGCCGTGGCACAGAGCTGCCCTTGTCCTTGGCCCTCATCTGGGGTAGGCTGGACCTTGCTGATCCTGACTTGACTTCCTGGTTTGGCCTCAGACCTGGGCTCACTGAGCTCTTGGCTAAATGTGATCACTCTCACCGGAATTCTCTGCTATTCTTGCTTGGTCACTGTGCCCCTGTGCCCATTTACACCGAGGTCCTGTCCCTGCTGTCCTCGCCGCCAGCCCTGCTCCCCTTTGCTCCTCAGGCTCCCCAGGCTCCTGCACAGCTGCTGCTCTGCCCAGCTCCTGGCGTGGACCGCAGCCCCTCCGTCTGCCTGAGAGGGCATGAGCAGTGATTTGAGAGGCATCACCGCTATGACAATGAGGAAGATGCGGCATTAGCTTTGGCTGCCTTCAGCTTCCCGAGAAGCCAAACCGAAATCCGGGTCTATCGGCACGGGCCCGGCCGCCGGGAGAGCAGCCGGCAGGAGGAGCTCGCCAGACACGTCATGGATCATTCCCGGACAGTCACAGCCGCATGTTTCAAGGGCATCGCTTTAGATCTGCCTTCTTGGGACTTCCTTGCAGACAAACCAGCAGCAGCAGAAGACAGAGGAAACGTCGTGGTATTGCAACCGAGCAGCCTCAGTGATTAATTTTTCTTTTAGACTTCTCAGGTTGTTTCTCCCACCGCAATGCCTTTGTCATTATTTCAGAAAATTAAGGTATTCATGAAGATGTTTGGGATGCCTTTTGATCCCTGGCAGTGGCCAATTGTTTTATCTTCCAGGAAAGCTAGTGTAAGATTTTATGGACAGCATCCAAACCACAGAGTAAAGAATTCCAAAACAATGTTTGTCTTTGCATAGGAAGATATCTTCCTGGAGTCCTCATGACCCCTGAGGGGACCTGCAAGCAAAGAGCTCTGAAACGTATCAGCTCCACTCTGAATATGGGCCTGGCAAAGTTATTCAAACAGCTCTGCTTCCTTGTATGCAGTTCATCTTTGTCTTCTGTGAGAAGCAGACACAGAGGACAGTAGTCACTCTTTTGCACAGCACAGTGTTCTCATCAGGTAGGTGCAAAGTGTCACCCTGCTTCCTCAGGCCAGTCCTGCAGCCCTAAATTTCACAGGCTCCGTGGCCATACCTTTGCACCACCTTTAAGACGTAATGAAGATGAATTTTTTTAAAATTAATTCTTTACTTTTTTAAGTCTGGCCCTCATTTAGCTACTAAATGGGAACTAGGTGCCTTTTGGTCCTGAATGTGGCTGTAATAATTATTTTGATTCTTACTGTGCCAGAAACTATTCTAATGCATATCAGCGTAAATTAAGTCAATAGAGATTCTTCAAATTTATCCTGGTGTTCAAGAGAATGGAATTCATGCACTTCAATTTACAGCTTATTAAGTGATCAGAATTAATGAACTTGCAACGACCTTTTCTGTTCTTGTTTACACGTTTTCTTCCTATTCAGTCATAATGTACATGATTTAGAAGAAGGAGAGTTGAAAAGGCAGCGTGTGGGTCAGATATGTCCCATGGAGCACAGCATTGTGCTTCAGGCTTTAATCATATCTGCAAAGCTGTGATGTAGGAATGGCATCTCTGTTGATCCACAGAAACCCAGCTTGATTTTCAGAACCCTCTCTGCATTCTGAGGGCTAGAAAAATATTTGTACTGAGGAACAGGGGAGGTGTTTAATAGATGCGGAACAATTCCTCCTATTTTTTTTCCAATGTAGTACCACATTTCAGGCTGGAGGTTGGGAATCATGCAAACCATCAGATCCATCTTTTATTCAGAGATCTGGAAATCACTGGGGATGTCACCAAGAACACCTCACCTAAACCCTGTTTTTCCTAAGATCAAGTGGAGGTTATCCCACTATGGTTCATTCAGCTCAAGGTTGGAATGATAAACGTTTCCCTTTGGTTTTCATAATGTCTTAGGCTAAACCTGTGAGGCTGTGTGCTCATCTGGACATCACTTCTGTCTCACTTCATGGAACAGCACAACTTCTAAATGATCCATCTGATTAATTGCAAAAATTTTGGACACTTCCTATTATTCATGTGAGAGACAACAGCACTAATTTGTGAAAATACTAGGAAATCAAAAAGGGAAAATTGGGAAGCAGATACCACTGCATTTGTAGATGCAGCAACTGGGTGATAGCTCTTGCATACCAATACCTTTATCTCATCTCTGTCTAATCACTCTAGAAAAGTTATCATGTGAGCACACTCAAAGATCTGTCACCAGATAAATACAGGGCTTGTATGCAACCTTTGCAGAACTGGAGGAGAATGGAGATCCAAAGTTGGAAGGAAAGAGGATGAGGAACACCCAGAAACCCCGATGTGAGGGAGCTGAGGTCACCCTGCTAGAACAGTATTGTAAGTGTGCACAGGAACCCTGGTAGTGATATTTAGAGAACCCATTTATTCAGAGAGTGGAGGTAGATGGGGCATTAAAATCCTACTGTAGGAGAGGATAAGGGATTCCTGGAGAGGAAAATGCCGGGATCACAGTAACCCCTACACAACCTGCTCGTGGGCATATACATGCCCCAGGCATTGGAGGGGGAGCTGAGAGACCTGGAGAGGTGACATATGAGGCATTTGTGCAGGGGGGGAGTGAGACATGGAATAAATCCCTGCACGAGAGAGCAAAATCTTCAAAGGAGTGGCTGTAGATGGGGAACTGCCCATATGAAATAAGAAGTAGAGGATGGGCAGCCACCTCACTCTGAGCAGCTCTGATGGCTGCTGAGAGCAAGAGGGGCCATGGCAGCAGATGGGAGAGGTGGTTTCAAGCCAGGTAGGCTGATTCTGGCCATATATGACTTGCTGAAAACCAGAGAAACTGCTTAGTAAGACGAGCAGGTGAGTGGAGCCCAGGGCTGGACAGAGCTCCGAGCAGAGCCACACAAGTACTCACCCTGAACATGCTGCTCCTCCCTGTGCTGGTGCAGAGGGAGGCATCTCAGGGACTGCCAGGCACTGCCTGTGGGTGGAGATACCATGCAGAGGCAGGTAGTCCCTGGAAGTTGGTGTATTCCTAGTCCTTTTTAGCTCTTTTTACTTATGTACCTGCATACCAGTGTTGAAAGATGAGAGAGACCCTCAAAGGCAAGCATAGTGAAGTGACACAGTTGACACTGAGGACTTGTGAAAACGGGGGACGGGGAGGAGATCCCATGGTTGCATTTGAGGAAGGTACAGCACTCTGGATTCACGGGATTCAGCTTTAACTACAAGTGACTTAAAAGTCCAGTTGAAAAACAAACACAGCTTAATACAAGGTTCAAGTACTGCTCTATTTTCTGAATTTGTTAGCTTTTTTCTTCTTCTTCCCTTTTTAGTCCTGGGTGTTCAAGCCCACAAGGCAATAACTTAACAGCACTGCTAGTATTTCCATGTTCTGTTTCTTTAAAAAGTTCATGAAAGTTGTCACAATATCCCAGTAAAGCTCTTTCTGCTGTGCTATCTAATCCAAAGTAGTTTGTATCAGATTTATGTTCTGGCAGCTCTGTGATAAACTTGGACTCAACCACATTGCAAACACAAAAGATTACTTAAAGTTGTTGTTGTTGAATTTGAAGGACTCTTTTGTTTCATGGATCCACACCCTCCTACCAGGGTTGTGGTCCTCAGTGGCTCTGCACCTCATACATTTATGAATTTAGGCAGACTGGAATGAAGGCATTTCCACCAGTGACAGTGTAATATTTTGGTAGATTTAACCTGCTCTTTGTGTTAAAATTGTGCCTTTCAAAAAAACGCAGTAGAAGATATGAAGCATTGGAGAATTCAGTGAGGTCTGGTATTTTGACCAAAGGGTCCTTGATGTGTAAAAGTTAGGCTTCTCCTCTCTCATGTAAGTCTCCTTAAGCCTGGTGTCTCAGTTCATAAGGCTTCCCTGAAACCCTGGATCAACCTTGTGAAGTTCCTAGACAAAGACAGTCATGCAGAAAATTATCAGACTCTGGATTCTCCGGGTGTGAGGCCTTGCAAACTTGAGCCTGAAAACATAAAAGACTGAAACTATGATGTCAGTCACACCCTCAACACAAAGATTATAGGTGTAACCAGAGGAGGAATTCATCACAAAACCTCTCTGATCTGAAGTCAAGCAGAGCTCTGGAAACAGCTGCCAAATACTCAAGGCCAGAGACTTCTCATCCTGGGGCCAGTTCATCACCTGTGTTATCCGGTGCTCTAAAGCCTGTTCTATCCCCAGTTTATGGAAAGAGAATAGATAACTGACATCCACTGCAAAAGTTGGAATTTGTGTGTTGTATTTGGGTTTTTTTTTTGTTAAAATGAATCTACATTTGGCTGAAGGAATAGTATTTTTTCTTACTATGATTACAGGAGAAAAAAACCCACTTACTATCTCCACACTTCCAAGGGAGAAGTTCACCTTATAACATCAACTGTACCTTGGAGTTGCACCTAACAGTGACTACCATCACTAACAGTACAATGGTCTGTGCTGTCTAACTGCCCCTGGAGCAAAAAATCAGTTTAATCATTTATAATTCATCTTTAAATTACATGTCTTGGAAAGGTTATATATTCCTGGTGTGGGACCACGCAGCCTCATCCCTGTATTGTTTCTGTACTCATGACCATCACTATTTTGCATGTTCTTTATCTGATTCTGCTGATGTTTGTAAAACATTCAGGGAATTTGAGGGGTTTCCTTCAGTGTTATATCCCAAACACACGACTCTCTAGCTTGGTGGGACTCTGGTGGAGGGTCACTCTGCACTGCCCTGAGAGCTGCTGGAAGTCCAGGTGTGCACAGGCAGCAGTGAACAGGGCAGGGATGGGCACAGGGCACAGTGAACTTCTCAGCAGGCTTTTGGTTTCCAGCCCCACGCTCAGTACTGTTGTTTTCTGCTGTGAGAATCCTTCAATTCTTCTTCCCTTTGGGTCTTTAATGCTAGCAGATGGAAATCCATCTCAACTTTCAAAAACTCTGAATAATTTATTAAGAACAAAATTGTTGGGTCTGAGAGCTGGTTCCTTCTCTCTTTCTTTCTCCTTTTCTCTCTGCAAACTGCCTTTCAGAGGCAAAG